ATCTTCTTTAATTTCCTTAATCAGTAGTTCCTCAAGAAATTAAACACAAAATTAGCCTATGACCCAGCAATTCTACTGCTAGGTATATATCCAAAAGAATTGAAAACAAATCTTAAAACAAAAGCTTCCATGTGAATACAAGCAGACCTTTTAACAATAGCCAAAAAGTGGAAACAAGTCAAATGCCTATCAATATCCATCAATGGATAAGTGTATAAACAAGATGCAGTATATGCATACAAAGGAATATTATTCATCCATAAAAAGGAGTGAGATACTTATACACACTACAACACAGATTAACCTTGAAAATGTGCTAAGTGAAAGAAGCCAGACACAAAAGACCAGATATATAATTCCGTTTATATGAAATATCCAGAATAGGCAGATTCATAGATTAGTGGCTGCCGGGGACTGGGAGGAGAGGAAATGCTTAATGGGTTCAGGGTTTCCTTTTGAGGTGATGGAAATATTCTGGAACTAGATAACCATGATGGCTACATACATTGTGAATGTACTTCATGCCACTGAATTGCACACTTTAAAATGGTAAGTTTTGTATTATATGTATTTTGTTACAAGAAAAGATAAACACATAAAATACACAGAGGGGCCACTGGCTGGAATCTCTCAGAACCAGCATGAATGGCTCCTGTGCCACCCCTCTTCTCCTGCAGTGACACCAGGGTCTTTCCTGTGATATTCTGGGTCACCCCTCCTACACCAAGAGCCTGATGATGGCTGCCCATGGCATGGCTCCTCCTGTCATCCAGGCGGGGGTCCAGGTAAGTGGGTAACTCAGCCTGTGAGACCCTATCTTGTCTGATCCTGGCCCTTTGTAGATACTGGCTGAACTTTGAGATCCATCTGGTGGAGGAAAGTCAAACAGAGACAGTGAATATGTCTTTTTTGAATGCTCTTGTCAAGAACATCAGCACGGACATCTTGGAAGACCTGCACTTCTCTCTGACCCCCTCTCAGGTGAAGGGTTCTCCCATCCCCATTGGCTGGTTCTGGCCCTACTTCCTCAGGCACATTCTTCTGGTCTGTGTTTGGTGCCTATCAACCCTCATCCTTCCCCTGTCTTGTTGGGAACAGGCCACTTGGCTAATCGGTGCTAGTGAGTTTACTGCATAAGTGGGTCCTGGTAACAGATTATCCAGGGTGCTAGGATGAGACACTTCGAAGCTCAGTGAATCAAAGGAGACTGAGTTCTAGCCCTGGACCTCCCACCACCTCACTAGGTGTTCTCCTTCTCCCTCTCTGTGCCTCTGACTCCTCATCTGTAAAATTAGCTCAAAGGCTGCTCCAAAGTCTGAGGTTCCCATGAGCTCTTCCACCCAGGGGATGCTTTAGAGACCAGGTAAACACAGACTTAGAGGTAATGCAAAAGGCCAAGAGGTAGAGTCTGGGTTTACACTGGTCTGGATTCAAATCCCAGCTCTGCCTCTTACCAGCTATTGTGATCTCGGGCAAATTACTTAACTTTTCTGAGCCTTGGTTTCTCTATCTGTAAAATGGGGACCACTTTCAAGGTCATCAGAGGAAGCAAATGAGATAATTCACAGGGACTGCTTGGTGCAGCGAGGGTACAGCCTCCCTTAAGGAGTAAAGCTGGTGGTGGAAATTTAGGCAACAGGCAAGTTGCTGTCATCAAGAGACTTAGGTCTGCCTAGAGAAGGGGAGATGAAAGACAGATGGGGCCTTTCTCAGCCCTTTATCTTGTCACCCAAGCAGCTGAGCCCTCCACGTGGGGTGTGCACTGGCCTCCGAAATCACCCACATGTCTTTTTCACAAGGGTTTGGACTAGGAAGCAGAAAGTTGGGGCCCTCAGCTACAACTCTTAGGTCCCCCTTTTCTAATGCCCATGGGATGCTTTTGAGGCAGAACCAGGTGAGACCAGGCTGTAGCCCCAGGTCAACCGTGAGGTTGGAGGATGAACAAAACATGCTTGGAAGCTACTAGTGAAATTTATTTTCATATTTTGACTGTTCTTAGCTTTTAGAAAATGTGTTGTTGGGGGGAGGAGGCTCTCATACTCAGTGTGAATTCTTGTGTTCGCCCTCTTTGCCCTCGCTATCTCCCTTCCTGATGGCCTTACGTTTTCCGTTTATTCTTGAGTCAGAAGCCAGACAGACACTGTCACTACAGCCCTATGTAAGCACAGCGAGGGTCAGGACCCCAGCTGACCCTCCCTCACACTCGCAAATGAGCCTGTCCAGGTGTCACCCCTTCACACCCCACTTTCAGCCTGACAGGTGGCCACACAGGTGCCTTGCTAACTCCATTTTTATATTGGAAAAACAGAGGCTCCATGAGGGCCATCACTTGGCCAGGGGATCACAGCCTGGACAGAGCACAGCTTAGACTGTGCCTCCAGGTTTCCCACCTCAGTGCTAACATCGTCGGTGCTGCCCATCCCTGCAGCGTGCCTCAGTTTCCCCTCCCCCTCCCCCAGGGAGTGGCAGGACCTTTTGCTGGGGGCTAGAATCTTGGGTAAAGATGGGAGGGCTGGGTCTGTGGTTGCAGATTCCGATGCAGGTGACGGAGGAGGAGCACCAGCATCCTGACAGAGTCCGGCTGCCCAGAAGCCTTTTTGCATCCCTGCAGAGCCGGGGGCCAATGGTCCGGTTGGCCATAACTGTCTTGGACGTCGGTTCGGGGAATCTCTTCAAGGTGAGAAGAGGCCTAACGGTGGCTCTGAGGTTCAGTGCTCGGTCCGCCAGGCCAGGCTTAGGGATGGAGGAGGTGATTTTGGAGAGTGTTCCTAAAGCAGCCCGTGGTCACACCAGCCCCCTGTCTCTAGAGTCTGTGGATTGCAGGCTCACACTGATTATACACACTCAGCAATTCGGACCCCCACACCAGTGCCCTTGGGCTTGCATGTGTATCCTGTGTGTCCATGTCCCCCGTGTGTCCTTGTGCATGCACAAACATGCATACCCTTTCTTATTCCGGGTGCACACGTTATCACGTGTGTGCTGGTGTGACCATGTTCACACAAGGAAGTATGCCCAGATCCTTGCAAATGTGTACTGGTGTGTGTCCCCCTGTGCTTAAGGTGTGAATCACATTTGCTGGCCAAGCCAGGTCATGTGTCTGCTCTTGAGGCTGAGCTCACATGGGGACATGTATAGCCCTGAGTGTCGGTATGAGCAGGTGCTCACCTACCTGTGGGCACCCACTGCCCTCCATTTCGCAGCTGATCTTTCTTCTAACCCTGTGCTCCTCCAGTTAAGAGGGCAGAGGAGCCCCAGAGGCCAGCAACGAGAGCCATCAGGTACATGGCTTTGTGGGTAGTTCTCGTGGAGTGTAAGGGCTGCCCTGGCCTAGCCTGAGCGGGAGACTATGGGGAGCAGCAGGAAGAAGGTCGCTCATGACCCCTCACCCCTCTGGTCCTCTGGCCCCAGACTTGGCCCTCCAAGCAAGGGCCACGATTCTTAGAGGCTCCCGGGAGCCCCCACCAGTGTTGGGTTGGGCCAGCCCCTTGTGCAGCCTGGCCTCCCCACATCCCTCCACAGGGTCCCCGGATCAATCTGGAGGACGGCAGCCGCGTGTTGAACAGTCGCCTGGTGGGCTTGAGTTTGGGTCATATACCTGTCGCTGGCCTGGCTGACCCTTTGGAGATCACCTTCTCCCACCAGCATCAGCCTCCTGTGAGTTGCCCGCTCAGGCCTGGCAGTTACTGAGAAGCAGACACACACGAGTCTCTGCAGCCCCAACCCTTCCACATCCACCCGAGGGAAGTCCACTAATCCATGTGCCCGCAGACATCCGACTCTCCCACCCACAGCCCATACCTAGCCACCCCAACACGCTGACCCGGGATACATCAAAGCTTCGCGTTCCTGTGTGACCACTGGCTGAGCCTTGCCCTCTACCTAATGCACACAGGTGCTGAGACACGGAGCATGCTGTCCTCTCCCCCTCCCCTCCCCACTCTCCTCTCCCTTCTCCCAACCTCCCCTCCCTCTCCCCTGACTCTCATTCTCTGGTTTCAGAACATGACCCTCACCTGTGTATTCTGGGATGAGACTAAAGGTAGGGCCTGGAGGACCTTCTCTGGGTAAGATGAGGGGAAGGTATGGGTTCCTTAGGGGACAGGTCTCAACTGCAGGGTCCCTCCCCTTGGTCTTTCCTCTCTGACTCCCCCTCTTCTGTTTCCTTCCCCTCCCCTCC